GATGTGGCACCCTTCTCGAGGATCTATTGTAGTTGAATGGCTACGTTACCCCGCTTTCGCCTATCCTAATGTTTTGTCTTTTCTCTGCAGGCAGACAACTTATCTATTCCAAAGTGTGGAAAAAACACACCTTGAACTGACTTTCAGCACATCCCTACCTCTCTTTTTCCGAATTTTGAATCATGCAGTCGTCAGTCAACTTGTGCTCACAATGCCTCCCCGTTTTGCAAATCTTGCCTGACGTCCCTTACACGCCGATACACTGCTCCTATCCAAACTTGACGTTCATACAACAATCAAAATGTGCTCTGTGCCGCCTGCTCAGCTTTCACGATTGGCGCTCATCCACATTCGTGGCCTCTCCCCGTAAGCTCGTTACAGGGTCAATTCGAGTAATGTGGACGATTGAGCGGGACGTAAACGACGATAGTAGCACCAAATACCAGGCTGCCTTGGTTTGGGATATCGACGCCGTGCGGTACCCTGAAGATGGATCAGAGACAATGCCAGCACAACTCAGGGGAGGCCCTTTTCATCTCTTCATCTGCCCAGGTGAGTAGCAGCCTCCCCTATTACGCGGTCTCTAACTGGCGGTAGATGACATGCTGGTCAAACCCGACGGCACCTGGAATAGAACAACTATCTCTCGTGAACCACTCACTGACACCTCTCTCAACCTGATCCATGGTTGGATCGAGGACTGCCTTGCCAACCATCCACAGTGCAACGAGAAGCATTTCCCGAATGTCATACCATCCCGACTCATCGATGTCGGGCCATCGGACGGCACACAGGAGCCACGCCTTTGTGAGGGACCCGTCCAAGGTCAGTACATCGCATTGAGCCACTGCTGGGGCGGCTCGCTCCCGGTTCAAACTACGTCATCCAACATTGTACAGCACAAGAAAAGTCTTCCCTTCTCAACTCTGCCAAAGACATTCCAGGACGCCGTGACCTTCACACGTCGACTGGGCATACAGTATCTTTGGATTGATAGTCTCTGTATAATCCAGGACTCGGCTAGCGACTGGAGACTTGAGAGCAGCAAGATGGCCGGGATTTACGGAAACGCGTTGCTCTCTCTTGCCGCTACACTTGGCGTCAACAGTCACTCTGGGTTTCTATCCAGAACAAAGGACGGAGTGGCTCCGATACCGATCGTTCCCCTTGCCGCCGATGGCCTCCCAGAAAGTGAGCAGAACTTTTGGCTTTATACTTTTCCCACCCCTAAAACATGGGAGGCAGAGGTTGCGGCTTCTCGGTGGAACGGACGAGGCTGGACCTTGCAAGAAAGGCTTCTTTCGCCTCGTATGCTTCATGTATGCTCGCAGCAGCACTTCTGGGAGTGCCAAACCACCACGCTCGCGGAGGGGGGTCGAATCGGAGACTCCACGCTCGGTGATGATTCCCGCGTTGACGAACGCCATTTCAAACGGTTATTGGGCGACGCCAACGTGATTCCCACTCCAGGACCGGTCCACAACTACCAGAATCCCGAGCTGAGCAGTCACATGCCCGACAAGCCCCTGACAGAGAAGGAAAATGCGTTTCTGCGCTGGCATCAAATCGTAGTGGACTTTACGGCTCGGTCGCTGACGAAGCAGAGCGACAAACTGGTCGCGTTGGCAGGCCTTTCTGAAGCCTGGAAGAGCCTGGTACACGACGAATACCTGGCGGGTTTGTGGCGAAGTGATTTGACTCGAGGGTTGTTGTGGCAGGCGGACCGAGGCCGCCACGCTGCCAGGCTCAACACCAGCCGGCCGAGCTACCACCGGGCGCCATCGTGGAGCTGGGCATCTCTTGATGGCGAAGTTTACAAGTACTACATGCGCGACTTCATCCATATCCAGGAAGAAGTTGGAAGACGGCCGGCTTTTGTCCTGGATTGCAACCTTCACGAGAAGCAGGTGGCGACTGCTGACGGTCCCGTGAGTTCCACCGTGGGATGGCTCAGAATCGTGGCCCAGTGCAAGAGCTATCGAAAGCTTAAGAAACTTGAGCAAGATTGGATCATATTCTACGATGTCGAAACCACGGACGCTTCCATTAAATGGAAAAGGACGCTCGTTGTGTACATTGCTACTTGGCACGGGAGCAGCATCCGGCCGCTGGATTATGCGCTCCTTTTATACGAAAGTGAAGATAAGAGTCGTGGGGGATACAAGAGGATTGCTTTCTTAAGGCCGAGAGATATGGAACCAAAGGTTCGAGGCTGGGAATCGCGAGAGGTTCTGATGTGGTAGGCATCGCCATTCTGAGGCCTTTTTTCTCGGCCTTTCTCGGCCTTTCTCGACATCTCTGACATTTCTTACAATCATCGAGCGAGGATGAATGGCGAGATCTCTAAAACAGTCACCGAGTCACTGCCAGTGGCCTCCCAAGATTGTGTCATTAAGTTTTTCTCGAGGTTAATATCTAGAAATCATGCTGAGTGGCCATGATGGACGTCTGAAGTCCCGAATAGCTGGTACCCTCAGCTCTTGATATGTCGCCCTCGCCCACATCTACGTGCCGTATCAACCAGTGTCATTGTGAAGTAGCCTAACGCCTCGTTATCCGAGAGTTAAGACCTTTTGGTATATATGAAAGGGCTTAGAGGCTAGTTTGAGAAGGCTTAGCTATTGTCACGATACTAGTATAGGGCGACAGAGACAAGCTGCTGGGATTACCATACCATCGTATGAAGATCTAAAGCTAAGGGAGAAAAGAAGAAGAAGAGGAAGAAGGCTGCGCGCGTGGGGAGTTATGCTCCTGCAGCCCTGTGGCCCGCGACAGCTACAGTATATTGATAGGGTTCATCGCATTTACGAAAGCTTTGTTAGAGCCCTTGAAGACAGGTAAGGTATGGCCGGTACTAGGCCTTTTAAGAGATAGAAAATGCATTAGGCGGACAGAAAAAGCGTTAAAGGTTTCACAAAGAACGAGGACAAGCATTCTGCACAGCGTATAAGTCTGAGGTAGTGCTTCGCCTTGCTAGTGGTGAAAGAGAGGATGGCAGAGGCAGATGCCCTCGGTCAGCCCCACCTCGGGTCATACCTACCTTCCGAGCAGCGACTGAGCTTCAATGTTCCATTCAGATAGAACGTCGTTCCAGGGCAGACTTCTCAAAACAGTTTGGCAAATTCTTCTTCGAGGCCATTCTTCTTCGACACGCCCCCTACCCTACCTAAAGAACGGCAAACATCCTCGCCGTTTTTACAAAGTGGTAGGCTCTTTCTTCCCACCATCTGGTGACAAGGAAGGCGGGCGCAAAAAGGAGAAAACACGAATCGCTCCAAGGTGTCTCAGCAGCCACCCCTCCTCAAAACCCAGTGGCATTTTTCCACAGCAAAAACTATCCACCCCGGCCATCAGCTTTCTCGCGCCAGAGACATTAATACCGGCAATCTCCCCGTTCACCAATTTCCCGAAAAGCATAACAAAAACCGAAAAAAGTTTGGAGGTGCAGAATCGAAGATCAACTTGACAGAGTAAGAATGAGTCTAGTTTCTCCTCTCCCAGCCATGCACCCTGCGCTGAGCGCGTCTTCGTTCACGACTCATCTTCAAGTCGCATGCGGAGAAAGAGTCTAGAACTTGCACAAGGTCATCCTATGTGCTAAGTCGAGCTTTAAGGCCGCCCTGTCGGGAAACTTCGCTGTAAGTTTCACCCCAACATCATGTTTGCAGTTGGGCTAATTCCCAGCGATCATTTGCAGGAGGCCCAAACTAGCGAGGTCATTTTGCATGAGCAAGACCCAGGTGTTGTTGATCAGGCTTTGAGATCCATCTACTCTGGCAACAGTAAGTGCTCTTCGCGATGGAGGAGTCTTTGAGTGCTAGTATGGGCTAACGTGAGAGTCTTGCTTTTGTATCACACATGCCGCACCCCCTCTTCACCGATACCAGCTACGAGTTGAAGGCTTACAAAGCCTCAGTTCTTCTCTACCGACTGGCAGATTTTCTCGACGTATTTCCACTTTGTGAAGAGATCGTCGAGGCTCTCCGTGGCTTCAACAAGCTGCTGACAGCTAGGATTCAGCGGGAAGCTCAGCAGTGGCGTGATCTCTAGGACCGGGATGATAGGAATGCCGAAGCGACTTATCTCGACAAAACCTTCGTCAAGAACTTCGTCGACGCTGCGCAGATGGCATATGGCGACGCAAAAACGATCGACCTGTTTTCGACCACTGCGGGGGTGAGGAGTATCCAGAAGCCTTTCGTGGAGATTTTCATCTTCACGAACCATATGCTCCTCCACGATAACGAATTAATCGATGAGATAGTGGCGATACCGGGATTGATGAGGCACCTGTTCCACCTGCGGAACAATGATGATGTTGGAATCATCCCATCGAAGGGTAGCAGCGGGGGACACGGATGCTGCAAAAACTGCAGAAGAAATCCCCTGGCAGACCGGGATGGTTCAAACTTCTGGTACCGCAGCCTGGAGTGCTGCATTGGATGCACCCCATCTGAGGACTTGGATAGAATGTTCGGCGACTACTACTACTACTAATTAGTCAAGTAACTTGAGGCCCATCTTGACACAAGTTGGGCCTAAAAAACCTCTGCGCATAACATTTTCAAGTGACAATAAGGCCGCTCTCGATCTAAATATCTACCGCTATTTCTGTCCACTTGATGCCTTTTCCATCGCTTGGCAGGCCTATCACCTACATCCTTCGTTTCTTCAGGGGCTCTAGCAAGGGCTTCACACAGTGAATCAACCCCACCGACATACCAACGAAGGTCGCTCGAACTAACCCAAAGGCCTATTGAGCACACATATGCCTTTCATACGGTCCTGGAGGCATTCACCCCGCAATGGCCCTGATTGACTAGATGCGTAGATGTGGTATATGAGGATGGTGTACTCTCTAGGTTGTCATAGTGGAATTTTGTGAACGGGGGACCGGGAATCGGCTCTGCGGGCTGGGTAATCCACATCTCATGCCGAGTCGTTGGGCTTTGCCCAGCGCCACTCATCGGCGGAGGATCCAGTCGGTTACTCATCAAAAAGGTCGCATGGTGTAGTTGGTTACCACGTCAGTCTAACGCACTGAAGGTTCGCAGATCGAGCATGCGTGTGATCATGATTCTTTTTGCTAGGACGAGATAGATGGAGGCTCAAAGTTCCATAAAAGTCGTCATGGAGTCATCAGGGCGATCTATGATGTTCAAGTATTTTGTCTGACATTGGTGGTGATGTTTGATCGGAGTGATTGGAATCCGTAGCAGATTGTGCCATTAAATTCTTGAATATGGCCTCGTATCACGGTCAGGGATGATGGGCCAAACAGGCCGCCTTCTAGAAGTGTTCGTTCGCATACAGTCTTGGCCAAAGGCAGGTGTCGCTGGGCTTGCGCCCGCGTTAGGTCTGCAGGTACAACTCTCTCACGCGCATATGACCTTCGCGGGTTGCCGAGTCGGGCGACGAAGTTGTCGATCGGCCACAGCTTGACAATTATTCGAACGATTATTTGTCGATTACTCTTGATTTTGTCGATAAATGTCGCAGCTAAAGTTCTGTCATGCGGGCCAAGATCGGCCGCCCACGCTCGCTGCCGGTATCCGGGCACGTGCCGGGAGAGCAACGGGAGTAAGTGGAAGGCGAAAGAAATATCAAGGCGTCATCTGCAACCAACGGCCTGCCGTGCCTGCTTTTATTATTTTGTTTGAGGCTCAAGAGCAGATCGACTTCAATGACAAGGACAAGGGCATTTCTTGCGGCCCTGTTGCTGCTGCACGACGGATTGCGTCAGTGTCAGAATTGAGGGGCCAATGAAACGCCGTAGAGGGATGGAGCAATTGGAAATTTCAGGTGGGGAAAGGAAAGCCACACCTTTGCTACCACTCAACCCCTCTTCTCCTTACGAGAGCTGTTTGAGCTGATTGGCCATCCATCACCTGACGCCTCGCAAAACCGTCATCCAAGCCAACGGCTAAGGAGAGCAAGAACAAGCAGCTAGAGGAGGTGAGAGGGATATTATTCTCCCCGGCCTTTGTAGCAACCCGTGTTTCTAGAACCAGCGAGGCCGTCTTGTCGCCCGACGTCATCCTAACTGTCCCAACTCCGTTTGTTCGGACCGTCTTGTTCAGCATGGTTGCATCGAGGGATTCGAGAGGCGACAGCGGCGACAGCATGGTGACATTTTCTCATTTCTGCCGTGCGCTATCTGGCTGCAGTTGACTGCCCGTCGACGGCAACCTGCAGGCAATCGCACTCTCCTGACTGCGGTGGGCCTTCCGACGGGAGCAGCGCTCACTGGATTTGGGCTTCGAGGGCATCACCCATCACACCACCTGCATCTTGCTGCAGCGGAATCCAATCGTGTGTGGTTGTGTTGGGCACACTCGGGCACTCTCGCATCTCCTCTCAGTGTCGCCGTCGTAGTCGTAGTTAGCACACTGGAGTCGTTATCATTAGCAATCCTGTCACTGGTGCCGCCACCAGCGCCACACCTTGCAGGCGGCATCGCCAAGGCATCGCCAAGTGAACCATACGCAGGTTTGTACATAAAGTTGACATTGCAATCTCTTATCGCGATGGCGACCAAATGCACCGGAGCACCGGAGCCAGAGTCTGCTCTTCCCCCACTGCAAGTCTGCAACAGCTTGCAAGAGGCGGTTGCAGTTGATGCAGAGGCACGGCGACGTGGACGTCGGGAAAGACTGGCGGCTGTTTCTAACGCGTGCAGATGGACAATATCAGACTCCTGTCTCAACTGGCCGCGCAAGCCCAGGGACCACTTCGGACCTGGCTGTCTGGGGTCGACTGCTGGGACTGGACGCTGGACAGTGCAAACGAATCCAGCATCTCGCCCGCGTGGCTTTGTCCTCGGCTCTGACATTTCTCGAGTTTACATCAGCGACAGGATTACTTGCATTGACACGGGCGGCAATAAAAAAAAAAAAGAGGCCTCGATCCGACAGATAGAAGGGTGTTGCCCATTCAGGGGCGAGTGACGGAAGCGGTGAGGGGCTTGCGCCATTACCAGGATTCTGGGCTTAGGCCAGCGCAGGGCCAACAGACAAGGAAGGCAGGAGTGGCAGGAAGCTCCAGCTAAAAAGCCCTGACGCCCTCTGATTGAGCGGGCTTGTCTGCTTCTGGGCTGGCATTCGGATTTCCCCTTTTCTCTCGCTCAACGTCGTCATTTCGATTCTCTCGATCCCGTGTTTGCTTGTCAACTTGCAGCCCAACTTATTACAAACTACCTGGACTTTTCTCTCCAAAAGTTCCCCCTCTTGACTTTCCAATGTCCCATCTGCTGTGCTACCAAATCAGGAATTCTCCGGCTTACACTGCAGACGGCAGCCTCCACTACCGCCCCGCCGCGACTCCCAGTGCCATGCAGTGACGACAATCGACGATCACTGCGAACCAAAATCCTAAATCCCAAATCACAGATCAGCCAGCGAGCGTTTGCTTGTGTACTAGGGACATCTTCTCCAATTGGGCCTCAGTCTGACACCACGCCGACCTCTTGCTCCACCGTCGTTTGACTCGACCACCTCGTCCGATCTTTGGCCCCGCCGATCAAGGAGCGCATGATTTGTCGATAATCACCTCAGCTGCTTCTGCCAGAAACGCAAAATTGGGGAAACCGGGACGCAAATACCAGGGCCTCCCAACCGCCTCTCGCAGTATAAGCACGCCGTCTCGCCCGACGACCCCTCGGCGTCGCCTCTCTCGATCGCACCCCGAACTTGGCGATTGAACGTACCATCGACCACAACCTCATTTCCCCGATGACCCGGCCGTTGGCATCCCCGAAAACAAACCGGTATACCATCCGCGTGCGACTACCTGCACTGTTACCCGTAGATATGAACATGATGGCAGGCCCAACTTTGACAGGGCCACTGCCCGAGTCTCGCCGGACGGTGACCGTCCCGCCCAGCCATCACAACCGCGACCTCGCTCTCCAGAAATACCTTGTGCTCCACGAACAGCACGAATCCCTACGCCAACACCTTGACGAACTCCGACCATTACAAACCGCTTTCGGCTCGACAACGATAACAACCAGCCCCGTCGCGTCGCCCACACGGACAAGCTCGACCTCGAGCTTCTCCTCCTATAGCCTAACCTCGCCGTACCGCTCTCTGTCGGGCGCGCCAACCATGTCGCAGCCGAGCCGGCGGGCCTCGCTTCCGTCGCGAGTCACTTGCATCGGTCTGAGAAGCGGCAGCGAGCTGGCCGCGGTGCCCGACGAGACGACGCTGGCGGAGGTGGCAGTTGGGGAGGCCAAGCTGTGCGACGTTAACGAGGGCATCAAGCGCACGCTGACGGAGCTGCTCAACTGCGAGGCGGTGCGCGGCGACCGCGCCTTCCGCACCTGGGTCCAGTGCCGTCTCATGGACACGGAACGCGAGCTACGGAGCGGCCGGAGGCGGCGGAGTGCTCCCGAGCCCTAGTTGGTCGGTGTCGTGTCGTTCTCGCGGTTGGGCTGCATCCCCGTCCCCGCTTGGATCCACCCCGTGGGACTAGGGGCGCCGCTGTGCATGGCGCTTCCCTCCCGTCCTTTTTTCTTCTCTTTTTTATTTCCCAGAGAGTGAGAGAGTTTGCAGTGTGGAGGCGCGGGCGCGCAGATTCAGCAGTGCCGACGTATTGAAACTGTGTGCATTTTTGAGCTTGGAGTTTTGGGGTAACTACGATTTTACGGCTTGTTTACCAGTCTATTTATGCTGGCCAGCCCTGAGACGTCAACTTCATTTTGACGAGGACGGGCATTTGCATGGAGTCTTGCGGAAAAACAAAAGGCAGTATCAAATGCCGATGCATGGAGGAACCCCCTGGAAGCCATTCGGCAAGCATTCATTTCGTTGCTGTCCAGATTGCCCAGGGAAGCATGGGGCACAAGGAGTCATTTGTTTATTTTGGCTGTCGTTTTGGGGATATCCGGCTGTTCAGCTTTGGCAGCCGTACGGCATGGAGTACTCATGTTGGTTCAAAGTTGGTGGATACCAGACTTTGTGTCTTCTCCGTTTTCTTGGCATCTGCATCGCGCATTTGCATCGTGCATCTGCATCGCGCATTGGATGGCGATATTTGCAATCAGCAACTAGCATACTCACTTGTAATGGCGGAAGAGAAGAGAATAATTGTATGACGACCATGAACCTGAACCAAACCGACTTTGGGTACCATTAAACCCCGCTTCGGGGAATTATTGTGCTGATCCTGCGTTGGGCCCCTAATTTAACGCGTTGGTGCTGGGCAAGTGGAAAAACGGGGTGGGGCGCCACCACAGGGTCTGGAATCGGATTCTGGGGTTGCATGTGCTCGCAAAACGACGGCTACCTTTTAGTTCCGAGTCACAATGTCTAGAATTGCGCGTGAATATGGGCGAAAACCGAATGTTGCAATGTTACTTAGCGGCGGCAAGAACGTTAAATGGGAGATGGAGGGCGAGCTGTGGCTCTAGAACGCAACTTAATTTACGTGATAGACCCTAACCCTAGACATAGCGTCGACGACACTCACACCGCGGCAGGCATCCAAACTTCAAACCCCAAACCCCTTCCCTTGGCAACGAGACCACCACAACACCATTGCGGCCGTGATCGCACGACCACGACCACGATTTCGTGTCACCGCCAGCTTTTGGCTCTACCCGCTATTTTTTTTGCCTTTTACTCGCCTCGCCGCCAGCATGTCGGTGCTCCTCGAAACCAGCGCGGGCGACATCGTCATCGACCTGCTGGTCGACTACGCGCCCAAAATGTGTGAAAAGTACGTTGCAGCTACCATTTGTCCCAATCCTGCCTCGGCCACCCGTTTTCATGCTAATGCCATGCCTCTACAGCTTCTTGAAGCTCTGCAAGGTCAAATACTACAACTTCTCTCCCATTCACTCGATCCAAAAGTCCTTTTCCTTCCAGACCGGCGATCCTCTCGGCCCCATGTCTACACAGTCCGACGGCGGGACGTCCATCTGGGGGCTGCTCTCGGGCGACCCAGCAGAAAAGACCTTCCCGGCACTCTTCCACCCAAAACTGAAACATCTCGAGCGCGGCACAGTCAGCATGGCGACCGCCCCGCACCCTTCCGACCAAGACATGCGCTTAGCTGGATCACAATTCTTCATCA